TGCAGGACCAGCGACTGTCCGTCGAGTGTCGGTCCGGTCTGCAGGACTAGCGCCTGTCGGGTGTTGGTCCGGTCTGCAGGACCACCACCTGTCTGTCGGGTGTTGGCCCGGTCTGCAGGACTAGCGCCTGTATGTCTGCTGTCGGTCCGGTCTGCAGGACCACCAACTGTCTGTCGGGTGTTGGCCCGGTCTGCAGGACTAGCGCCTGCATGTCTGCTGTCGGTCCGGTCTGCAGGACCACCACCTGTCTGTCGGGTGTCGGTCCGGTCTGCAGGACCACCACCTGTCTCTCTCGTGTCCGTCCGATCTGCAGGACCAGCGATTGTCCGTCGAGTGTCGGCCCGGTCTGCAGGACTAGCACCAGTATGTTGGGTGTTGGCCCGGTCTGCAGACCTGTTACGTTGCTGTCATTTGGTCAGTCAAGATCTATAGATTGTTCGAGTAGATCCTTACAGGTCTGCAGAGACTGAACCGGGTCTGTTATTCACCGAGTTTAGCACCAGGATGCCTTTGAACGACTGTTGGTTGATGTTTATTTACAGGCACATCTGTCGGCTGGTTCAGACCACCGACACCAGAACCAGACCATCCCTCGACTCAGAACCACTCAGCTGGGCTCAACAACTGGTGTACATTAATAAAACGTAATATTTTCCTCATTAAATTTCTCCCTTCAGCTGCTGAGCTCTGACCCGGTGTTGTTGTGAAGGATCACGTCTAGAACAGTGAAATAAAAGTTCATTTTTATTTTGAACGGATCATTTAAAATCTAACCCTGACGATGAAATGATGGGGTTTGTTTCAGGTTAATGTTTTCCTGGTGGTACAGTAACTGATGAGAGCAGCAGCTCAACTATTTTTACTCTGACCAGCAGTTCTGGGGGGCACAGAAACCCCACGGCTGCTTATAGGACCGGGGGTGTCGGTATGTGGCTCTCGGCTCATCTTTCAGGTTGGGTCGGGTTCAGGAGGTGTTTAAAGATCCGGCCCGGTGCCACGCTGGCAGAGCTCGTTCTTAAAGTGCTAATTTCTTTTTTTTTTAATACTTCTAGTTAAACTTTTGGTAGTTACATAAAATCTTTAAATCCCCAGAGTTCTGTGGTTACATTTTTTTCTATTGGGATTAGAAAATTAAAACAAGTTTCACATCTTTTTTCTATATTTCCTCTTTGAGCACCTGGAAACAGTCGAGGTACGTCAAATTATTTAGAGTCCGTTTCCTCGGGTTGTTCTTATGATCTACGTCCGGTCTTCAGGAAGAATGAGTTTTCAAGTTCAGGGAGTGAAATCAGATTCTCCGATTCTGTTCAAACACAAACTATAAAAAAAATAAAACTAAATATTTCATGTTTCCACACGAGTTCAAATATTCAGGCATCAGATGAGGCTCGTCATTATCAGGAGGTTCTGCTGCTTCGGAGCATACAGATGTTTCACTGAATGCCAGGGTGGAAAGACATCAGCTGTGGGGCCATCAACATCTGTGAAGGGTCAAAGGTCATTTCCAAATTATCTGCATCCGTCGTAGAGAGAACGATTATTCACAAGTGGAAAATGTTTGACAGCTGACAATTGTCACAGGAGAGGACATCCAAGCAAATTCACCCTGAAGGTCAGACCATGCAATGAGCTTGACCTCAGACAGTACAGGCCTCAGTTGGCAGGTCAAAGGTCATGGCCTCTTCTGTAAAAACATCTCAGCACGACTTAGGTTTGAAAGGTTTCATCTGAAGGAACAAGACTTCTGGGACAGAACCAGACCAAAGGACGGGTGTTTACCCAGAATGCACTGCAGCGTCCTCAACCTCATCCCATCTGTCAGCACGGTGGCGGAGGGCTGATGGTTTGGGCTCATTGCAGTCACTGAGTGGACCATGAACTCCTCTGTAGACTAAAGGGTTCTGGAGTCAAACATGAGTCCATCTGTCCAACAGCTTAAGTTTGGACCAAACTGGATCCAGCAGGACCAAGATCCCAAACAGAGCAGCGGATCTACAACAGGACGGGTCCAAAACAAAAGAATCAAGGTGCTGCATCGATCCAGTCGGAGTCCAGGACCTCAGCCTGATTGAAATGTTGTGGTGGACCTTCAGAGAGCTGAGCAGAAACCAGTGATTGAAAGCAGAGTGGGCCGAAACTCCTCCAGAACCAAGAGAGACTGAAAACCACAGAATTCTGCTGCTGGAGGAGGTTCTGTCAGGTCAGGGACCAGAACCAGTTTTGGTGTAGGCCAGTTCATTAACACTAGTGATAAGCTGTGGATCAGAAGATTTTTTATTTTATTCATAAATTAAAAAAAGTGCATTCATTACATTTTACTCCTCAGATAAATCTTAATTCACCTGTAGGAGAATCTAAACCGTTATTAAAGAAAAGCATCAGAAAATTCTGATTTTCCTTCACGGCCCGTCAGACTGGACCGGAGCAGAACCAGCCGGTCCTGTTCACCCTCGTCTAACATGTAAACACAGCACAGAGGAGGTCACAGGGTGTTCCGTCCGGCACCGAATCGCAGAATCATTTCTGTCGTAGTTTTATTTTTTAACCTTCCAGCGGTTCGGACAGGAGGCTAACGCTGCTACATGATGCTAGCAGCAGCTAAAGCTACAGCCGGTCCGTTCAGCCGCAAATAAACACATCATCATCTGTGAGTTACCTTAGAAATTCGTTTTAAAGCCATTGTATCTGACAGAAGGGACAGGTTGCCGAGGAGGAGGAGGAAGAGGAGGCCGGCTAGGTGACGCTAACCAACTAGCATCCAGGACTTCACTATCTTTGTAACTGACTACACATCCGCCGATTAAACACTGTTGTCCCAGTCGATCTCTTGTTCGCCGAATTTTCAGCACGTCACTCCCGAACCGAAGCTAATGGTCCACTAACTAACTGGACCGACGGCGGCAGCTCAAAATGTCTTCCGTTACACACAGCAGCTGTCAACGAACCGGGTGCAGGAGGTCTCACTTCGACTTAAATCTACGGCACCGAAACTGTACAATGACGACAAAGATCTTTTCACGTTGTTAGGTATCACTCTGTCACGAATTTACAGAACTGAAATACACTTAAAAGCACAAGACAGCAGAGAGAGATCCTACAGCATGAGGGCTCACTCTGTCTTGAATTCACGGCACCGAAACGTAACGGTTTTTAACGAGGGCAGAGATCCACTTGTATGAATAGGAGGTCTCACTCCAACTTAAATCTATCGCACCGAAAGAAAGGGCAGCAAAGATCTTTGCTCTCGGAATCACGATGTCTCACGGTGGCTCGAATTCATGGCCCCAAAACAAAAACAGCTCGATGACAGCAGAGGTCCACCTGCTGCTGGACATCTAGAACTTACAGCAGCTCACTAAAGTCCAGAACTAAAATTATCCTCACATGTAGCTCACATTTTCTGTCTTTTATGACAGTTAACCCAACAAAATAGTAACTGTTTTCCAACTTGCAAAAAATGCTTAAATACAAACAACTTGTCCTTAAAAGAAACACGTGAAATTGGAGTTCAATGGTTTGGGCTTTTTTGTTGTTGTTGTTGTTGTTTTTTTTCCCCACGGCAGCAACACAAATAAATAAATTTTATATATATATATATGAAATTCATGTTTATCCTTGTGTTGTGGTGATACTATTTTAATTTCTTTCTTTCAGGGTATCTGATCTGTTTACTCCCAAGTTCACAAAACAGAAACTCCTCTTTGTAAGATAAGCTTTAAATCATTCAGGTTGTCCTGTGGTTCCCACTGGTTCTGCTGCTGCTGGTCCCTGACCTGAGCACAGAAGCTCCTACGACCACCAGAGGACACTCTTTAGCTTCAGATCGTTTTCACAACCATCAGCTGATAAAATCTGCAAACCTGCGACTTTTAATCATCTCACACTTCTCCACAACCGCTCCCCTTCAGCCCACAGGAACCGGCTTTCTTTTCTTTAACAATGGCTTCTGTTTCCTGTCCAACAGAACCAACTCCTGCTTCTCTCAGTTTTCCTTCCATCTGGCGGGCCATGTTTGACTGTCCTTTAACTGTTTTCTGTCCATCATCAGCAGCAGCTCGTCAACACGTGATGGATCCCTCGTTAATCAAACGCTCCTGACTGACCTGACACAAAACATTTATATTTTAGATAAAAAGTCTGAATATTCAGCTGGTAAATTAAGTAGTTTTGTGTCATAATTTGCTCTTCAAAGATGTTTAAGGCTTCCATCACAACATCAACCTCCTTCATTAAAGCTCAGGGACTTCCTTTGTAATCTAAGCTGAGTAAACTGGATTAAATGTGATTTCTAACGCAAACCTGAAGAGCCCGAACCCTCCTGAGTGTTTATGTAAAAAAAACAAAATCACAGTTAAACAGATGTTTGTTGGTTTTAACTTGTTGTTTTTCGTTTAGCGGAGCAAAACTTCAAAACCAAAGCACAACTCGACAAAACCTCCCATCAAGTTGGATCAGTTACAAAAAGTATTTAGACGTCCTGAAACAGAAACAAAGCTGCAGTAAGAAGTTTAGACAAACATCGATTCAAGTGTTAAGGGTTTATTTTCATCACTAACTCTATTTTATTGCAGCTGTTTGAATATCAAACTTTTTGTGGCTCTAAATTGTCAAAATAATCCATAAATCTTCTAAAAAGAGCAGCAAGAACTTCAACAGTACCTGGTTCTGTCCACCATGGGGCGCCCCGGGTCTGTTGTAAATAAAAAAAATCGCTTAAGTTTGTGTCAAATTGTAAAAGTGCCAGAGCTGATCCTGATCCGTTTCAACCTTCTCCTGTGATCCAGCCTGACACTGGTTCTGAAAGTGATGCAAGGTTTCCATCATCCAGGAGGTCCCCACGAGGTTCTGGTGAGAACTGAAGATCCTAGGAGGTTCTTTGAGACGAGCACTGTGGTTCTGAATCAGTTAAGAGTCTCTAAAGGCCTGGAGAGACTCGAGGAGCTTAAGATGATCTTAAGATGATCTTAAGATCATCTTAAGATGATCTCCAGAGACCTGGTTCTTTAAGTTTCTTCAGCTGTTTTTGTGACGTTAAATCCAGGCGGCTTTGAAGGAAGAAGAGTCCGTCTCTGGGTTCCTCGGAGTTGAAGCGTTCTGGAAGAGCCTCCAGGAGGTCTTTTCCTCCAAGATGTTCTTTATGGAGCAGAAGGTTCTGGTTCTGCTCATAGTCCAGCGTTTAAGAGGAGTGGAACATCTTCAGATGTTTCGACATAAAGGGCTTTGTTGGATCTGGATCTGACCTTTGGTTTCGAGAAGGTCCTGAAGGTTCATGAGACTCACAGATGGTTCGGAGGATTTTAAAACATGTTGGTAACATTTTCAGAGAGGAAAAAGTTGACGTAAAGTTTGGATCTCCTCAGTTTGAAACATTTTAGGGTTGAGGAGATTTGAGTTTCCAGGAGTTTCATGAATTGTTTTGGAGTCATTAATATGTTTCCATGACGATAAAGAGAGGTGGTTTTAAACCAGGACGTTCTGAAGAAAGACGAAGTGTCTACTTGGTTCCTCAAGAGTCTGCTGGGTTCCTCAAGAGTCTGCTGGGTTCCTCAAGAGTCTGCTGGGTTCCTCAAGAGTCTACTGGGCTCCTCAAGAGTCTACTGGGTTCCTCAAGAGTCTACTTGGTTCCTCAAGAGTCTGCTGGGTTCCTCAAGAGTCTACTGGGTTCCTCAAGAGTCT